GGGGGGAGTAGAAATACTCCTAGTCGCTTCATGCTACAGAAACCGGGGTAAGCTCCGGCCTGATGGGCCACTTGGCTCACATGCAGACTTTACCTTTACCTTACTCTCCCATAAGGATTGAGACTTGCCTAGGCAGGTAAGCCAGCAGCTTACTGCCTTGAACCCTGGAAAAATTATTTTAATAATTAAATGAAGAAAGGCTTGACTCACCAGTAGCGATTGGCATCACTCATAAGAAGCATCACTGAAAACAGTCCGTATAAGTATGAATGGTTGTTCCACCGTGCCTTCTCCAACAGAAAGATGTACCAGTATGTGACCATGAATGACAGACAGCTTAAACGAAACATAAATCCAAGAAAAATCCCACATGCTCCAAGAAACATTACTAGGTAGAGGACATGCATCCAGTCCACCGACAGAGGCTGAATGAAGTTAAACAGTGGAAAGTGACAACTGTCCTCGCCAAAATGTTTATCAATGTACAGCATACTGCGCTCTTGAGGAATGTCAATCATCATGAGTAATCCTGATAAATATAAAATTTAGGATGAAGCAATGCGTTTATTTAAACTTGTTTAAATACTAAAAGTTAGTTTATGCCACAAAGCTCTAGTGATACCTTTACCTGTTGTAAACACCACCAAGTAGCAGCCAGAGGATAATTACTGTTTCAACAAACTTTTAAAAGATACTGGGCTGAGAAAACAGCTGATTGAGAGATATTTTCACATCTTTTCATGTCTTTGATAATTAGCCTGGAATATTCTGGACAGAGGCAGCCCCATACCAGTTTCCACCATTTTACAGAATTCAGTCAGATTCTCCAGAATAACTCAGAAACTCAGAATAACTCTATTAACTTTCAAAGCATTTCCTGGGGACCCCTCTAAAAAACACTTGCGCCCTTGCCCTTCATTGTTTCAGAAATCAGTCACCATTTATCCTAGATCTATGCCTAACCTACTATGATTAACACCAGTCTTGTGGCCAGATTTCATTTACCTATGGGAGACCAGTTCAACAGGGTTCTACTATGTACACTGACAAAGAAATAAACTTCAACAACCTTACCAAACATAATTCTCAATGCAGCAAGATTTGATGGATCAGCTGGTGATGTCATGAACATCATGAGTTTATTCCATAAGCTTGACTGGGTAATGGTTGCCTGACTTTTCTTTTCCTCTTCCATTGTGGTTTTCTTACCCATCCTAACAGACTCTACTTCAAGCTGATCAATCCTTTTAGATCTTGGATCCTCTAGCACCTTAAATAGTTTACAGAGAAAAAAAACCTAATTTAAGTTATAATGCATCAATCAGCTGCTCCCCCAGACAACCCCGCCACAATCCTGAGAGATTTCAATCATGTGTACTAAAGGCATCTGCGGTCGAGTGTCGATTGATACCCTCAATCGACCTGTGATCGACATTTCGATGGGCATTCAATTGACATCCCGAGCAATACTCAGTCAACACTTGATTGACATCTCAATTGACACTCAGTTGACACCTACTCAACAGTGGGTCGATATTCATACATGTGTCAGCTGACTCATATGCATCAATCGCAAATTAGTCAACTGTCGACCGACTGTCAAC